AAATATCTCACCTGTGCCCATCCCCCCCTTTGGGCGTGGACAGCATTGTAGGCCCACCCCTACACATCTGTGTGAGAGATTTTTTTAAAAAATGTCTTTTCTATAGTACGCATAGGAATGTTTTCAGCTGTGTGTAGAAGCAGGCAGAATGTCACTATACGTCTTAAATCTGTACTAAGCTATTTAACTTCTGTAAACCTCAATTCCTATGCTTAGTACAGATTTAAAACGTATCCTGACATTCTGCCTGCTTCTACACACAGCTAAAAACCTTGGTGTGTGTTTGTTTTAGTCCTTTATATGGACTCTGTTCTTTCACATCAGAAAGTTCTGAAGAGGTTATATGTTCATGAACCTGCAAACATCTACTAGTAGTTCTCCATGACGGTCATCTAGTAAGAAGCAACAGATAATCTGCTACTTAATTTCCCTAAGTATTTGTTTTACTCCTACTGTGAACCACACCTGGTTCTAGATACTAGAGACAGAGCAATAGAACTCCAAATCCTTATCCTTGTGGAGTCCTGGTTTGACTGGTAATAAAACAAAGCAGTTTCAGTGAATATACTACAGAGAAAGAGAGCCAGGGAGTGGGTTAATGAAGTGTCAGAGGAGGGAAAGTATCAAGAATACACAGAATATAACATACATACATACATACATACATAAATTCATACACATACATACACACATATACTTATATACACATACCTGCATATGCAATACACATACACACATGCACATGCACAATATACATACATTCACACATACATATGCACATGCATATACTTGCATACATGCACATACAGAAAAAGACACACACATACATGTACACACACACACACACACACACACACACACACACACACACACACAGGAATAACTTGCCAGGCAGCAGCTTTTACAAAATCACCTGGCAAAGTGTAGGAGCTAGCCATGAGGCTGGTGGGGGACTACTCCAAAGGAAGTAGCAAGGACAAAGGAATATTGTTAGTGGTTAGTGAGGGAGACACTCACTCAGATGAGTTTAGAGAGACAACAGAAGCTAGGGTAATGCAAAAACTTGTAGATTCTAGAAATTACTTGAGGATTTACATGGAATGAGATGGGAAAACTGGAGTACTTTGGTCAGAGGAGTAACACAAACTGATGGAAATTTACAAAAGAAAACACGCTGCTTATTGGTATTGGACTGTAGAGGTGAAGAATTGGCTTGTATCAGAAACTCATAGTAGAGATAATGGAGACTTCGATTGTAATGTGGGAGTCTTGTGAGAAGGAGTCAGATTCTGCATATTTTAAGATATAGCTGACAGTTTGTTGACAGATTGGGTGTTAAAGACTCGAGGGTGGCAGCAAACCTTTGACTGTAGCAACTACAAAAGCTGCTATTAATGGGGACTAAGAAGACACAGGGAGGGGCTGTTGGGGAGTTGAGGAATATAAGCTCACTCTGGACCTGGTATGCTTGAGATTTCTAAGTAGACTTCCATGTTAAAAAAGCCATGTAAATAGCTGAATTTTGATAATAAAGTATTTGGGAGACACAGTATTTGGAACTTGTAAACCTTTCCTTTACTATTAGAAAATATCCAAAAGAAACAGCTTAAAAAAGAGAAAAGGACCCATTTTGGAAGTTTTAGTTCAGGGTTGGTTGGCTTTATTGTTTGGGAACCCATGGCAAGAGTTCAAGTGGTGGGATCCAACTATTTACTTTGTGGGGAGATGTTCATGCACACAGAGGAGGGGGGAAGTTGGGGGAGACTGAGGGACTTGGGGAAACTCAAGGTCATGCTCTCAGTGACCTAAAACTTCCCACCTAAGCATCTGGCCATTGGCGAGTATCAGGTCATAACCCTCACCTAAAACTTCAGCACATAGGCATTTGGGAAGAGTTTGAAGATACAGACAGTAATCGTAGTAATCTGAGTATAGATTGAGTTTAGAGAAGGTTTTATTAAAATATGATTGCATGCATTATGGGAATACATTCATGTATCTGATAAGGTGACTTTGATTTTTTTGCTTTTCAGATTTTATTAAATACCAGCCACATGGAGTAAGCATTAAACAAAAGTCAGATCACATACAAATGTTTCCTAGATTGCAAGTAGTAGGTAAAGATCTTCCAAGAGGTGCCAATAAAGGGGGACATTGGCCCAGTGAGGTGGCTCAGCAAATAAAAGCACTTGCTGCCAGACCTGATAGTTGAGGACCTGAGTTTGATGTCTGGTCCCCACGTGGTAGAAGGAGAAAACTGAGTCCTACAAATTGTCTTCTGATCTCCACATTCACACATATACAAGATGGTATGCATGCATCCTCAAACCCACTCATAAATATACATATATACATATTACACACATATATTATAATAAAAACTTATAATGAGGGATATGACCTGATACTGACCAAATGCTTAGGTCCAGGCATTTCAGTGTTATTTTTGAGCTAGATTTCTGAGTTCTTATGGGTCAACACAAAATTGTAAATTTACCTGAATGTGTGTGAATTTTTTGAGTAATTCTATTATATGGTTCTTGAATGTGTCTTGATGCCACATAAATATATGTGTGTTATTTGTACTCACATATGGCTTCAGTTGTTCTGTAGTGTGAGGCTTCTGGCATTATCTTCCAAGTACAGACCATTGAACTGGCACCATGAGGTGGTACATGTATTGCCAGTGACTTGGCATGAGAAAATCAGTGATAATCTATAGCGTTTTAATGGACCATTGGAAAAGATAGGCATTTAATATTATTAGGAGGCAGCTAAGTACTCTCATTTGTTTATGAAGGATACTTGAGCACTTCCGTCACACCCCATGTATGTTTGTCATGCTTTATATAGGCCTTCTACTTTGGACTGTATAGCACGCATTCTTCCCGCCAGCCTGGTCCCAGAGTCATGTCAGTCCCAAATGAACACTCTGGATGCCATATTATTTATGAAACTGTTGTCTGTTTTCTATGGTTTCTTGTTGGCCAGCTCTGACTTAATTATTAACCCATAAATGCAAACCTGAGTATTTCTACGTGGTCTTCTCTTATCGGAGAAAGGATCCTGACCTCTTACTCCTCTCATGTCCTACATGGTAACTGACTGTACCTCTGTTTCCCAGAATCCCCCACCTCTCCTAGTCCCACCTATCTTGCTTCCCTATTTGCCAACACTGTTTTACTCATCAACCAATAAGACAAACATATACACAGAAGACCATTCTCCATCAGGGCTGAATCAGCAGCTGAGATGTGGAAGGGCCTAAAGTTTGCTTTCTATTTTCCTAGTAAAAGTAAGTACATTCTCTTGGCTACTAATATTTTATAAATCCCAGCATGACTCCTGTGATGGGATATATCAACTGTTAAGTTTCACAAACCTGCTCCCCTGAGAAGAGGGAATATCAACAGAATAATTGCTTGGACCAGATTGACCTGTAGACATATGTGAGCTGTACACTACTGATTACTAATTTATATAGGAGGGCTAAGCATGATTTAAAGAAGTTACACCTAAAATGTATACTATAGTATAAGATATTTATGTGGTAGTGTATTTAGTGGAAACACTTCAGAACCATATTCTATGGTGAGTTTATTAATGTACAAAGTATTAAAATGTATAGCATCATGAAAATTATCATCAAGATAGTGAATTTCATAACGACCAAAGGATTCAATTGCCAACTGTAGGAATTACTTAAAAGTGTTAATGGTGAGTATGGTGATGTCATTTACTTTAAGCTGTTGCCAAATATTAAGGAGATTTAATAACTGATGAGGTATTATCAAGTCATGTGTGGTATCAAAAACAAGGACTTGATGATGGAAACTGGCTTATAGATTTAACATTTTTAACAGATTTAACCACTCATTCAAATCAGTTCAACATATATTCAAGGTGGAAACTAACTTACCTGTCAATACAATATCTAAATCATAACTGTTCTTAGTGAAATTAAAATTATAGCAAGCTCAAAATAAGGCAAACACTTTTATGCATTTCAGGACTCTGACAAAACAATCCCATAAACTGCATAAAGTGTATGGCCCTGTTTGTCAATTTGACACAAAAATTTGAAATCAGAATTCAAGCTTTCATGAAAAGTATTTGGTATACTTATGATTCAGTGTTCAGTCCATATAGACATGTTTCCTGTTAACTTTCAAACAGTACATGGGGCTGCAGGCTGACACTCAACTTAAGAAAAATAAGACTATGTGTGTTTACAAAACTTTAAGGGTCCTATTGTTCGTGCTTTACAATCCTGCCTTGTATATATTGTTGCTTTTTGTTGTTGTTGACACTTATATTTGTAAGTAATTATTTCCAAGAAGGAAGCACACTGAGAATTAAAGTCAGAATATCCAATGAGTACTGAGTGCTTCCATCAGCCTGATATTAATGCATTCCTTTTAAAAATCGTGTCAAATATCACACTAGTCTCATGTTGCCCTCTTTCTTTTGCCTTTATAACAAATACTATAAAAGATCAGTGAAGTTTCAGTACTTTGAAATGTTTATTCTCTTCTTTAGTGATTTGCAAACTTGTCATCTGTTCCACCATTTTATAAAAGACTCTGTGAACAGGGTGTTGCATAAGATTTGTTAGGTGAAGACGTCTAATTGTCGGGTGGCACATGTCACAAAATTTATGCATAGGTCATTTTGTTGCTCATCAACTGTTGTTAGTGTTTGTGCATTTGGCATGTGGCCAAAGAAAATTCCTCATCATTAAATAACCTAGAAAAGCCAGGAGGTTGGACACCCCTGATCCACGTTAACCCAGGCGGTCAGCAGATTCAGTTCTGTGTTTTGTGGAAATAATATGAAACTCAAGCATCAAGAAGCTTTTCAATGTGACAAAGTAGATCTTCAGACCAAACCTCCCAAATTGATTACATTTTCAGGTTTATGCATAAAGAATGTTCCTCATATTTTATTTGAATGTGGTCATAAAGAACCAGCAATCTGAATTTTTCTTGTTTCCCTCACAGCAATGGTGACCTGGACCCGTGGTCAGGAGGTGGAGTTACTGAAGATCTCTCTGATACCCTGGTGGCAGTCAACATCCCAGAGGGGGCCCACCATTTAGATCTGCGATCCAGCACTGACACGGACCCACCATCTTTGCAGTTAGCCCGCTCTGTGGAAGTTAGACACATGAAGCAATGGATCTCAGATTTCTATGGCAATTACAGAAAGCAGCCCTGAGCAACTTTTACAACCACCTTTCTCTTCTTCTTTTATGTTCACTCCACCCACAAACCCATTCACTTTGATTTTTTAATAAGTAATTACTTTCTCTCATTTGTCATTATATTTGTTGGGCCAAGGTTGAGACAGAAGAGAGTGACAGGGGTGGGTGTAGCCATCCCACCCCGGTGACTGCTCCGTCCTCCTTGTATTTAATCATTTCCAGGAAGAATTTGCCATCATGGCAGCTCGCATGCCATCAGAACTGGCATGGTTCCTGACTGCCTTTCACCAGAGGGAGAGCCACTTCTTGCTTTTTCAAGCAAAGATATCTCCTTGGGTTTGAGGCTGAAGTCTCTGGTCCCCATTCCTGCCACAAAAGGAGAAGCAGAAGCTGGATTAAAAACGCTGCAACTGCAGCTGGTAGGATGTGTGATGCCAATCCAGGAAACGGGCCGCTTCCTTTGAGCTCGATGACTGCCTTTGAACTGGGCTGCAATAAAGAACAAGGCAGACCTACCTGTGTGTTGCTCCCATCTCCTCCAGCTGTTGGGAAGGCAGTGTGCCTGGGCTGGCTGCTTTCAGAAAGTCTTTTCTTTTTCTCTTCCCCCCTTGGCAGCTATCCTTAGTTCTGGGAGATTTGCCACTGTGGTACTGCCAGGAAGAAATCTGGCCTTCTCCTGCTTCATTTCTCTTTGTTTCTAAGGTCAGTTTTGTGGTAATTTAGTTAAATTATGCCAACTTAGGAAAATGGCTCTGCTCGGTCTTTCACTTTAAATTCAAACAGGCTCTACGTCCTGGTCACCGATGCTACTTAAGTAAAAAGACTTTTAAATTTGATGAGTAAGCTATTCCAAGATCACAATGTAGTTCTGATTGTCTTTTAAAAATATTTTTTCTTCCAGTGATTGTTACTGGTATCATTAGAGCCCTACGCAGCAGGACACCAAGTGGCAGGTGTGTGGGGATTTTCCTGTGTGGCTTCCAAAAGACAAGCAGAGTAATTCATACAGGCTGCATGTTTGACATTAGTAAATGATGGACTTTTCCCATTTCCAAGAGGTTGGAAGTTTCAAGCGTTCTTACCCTGAGACCTTTCTTACAAAGGGCTTTTCTAGAATAGGAAATAAAGTTGAATCCAAGCATTTCAGGGACACAGAGACTAACAGTCTCTTCTCTGCCTAATGAGCTCTAAGTTCCTACCAGTTTCTTTTTTGTTTTCTTAGTGGTTTTTTAAACCTGTGTTTGGGAACATTTAATGCTTTCTAAAAAGTATACTTGAGCTTGGTCATTTCAAAAATCAAGTTTTGATTGGGAGCCTGAGCTGTTTCCCTCACTTCCCTAGCATACAGCAAAGTCTTGGTCCTTGGAAGCCTTCAGGTTACATTCGAATGAGCTGTTATTTCATTTCATCCCATTGAAGCAATTTGGTTAGTACTTTGTTTCAGCATCAGAGAATAGTCTATTGGGTAGCTGTGAAAGTCAAGACAATACTAGCTTTGTTCACTTAGAAGCTTTTTCTTGTCTACTAAGAAGTTGTATGATGCAGGCGTGGGGCTTTAATACTAGACATTCTTATTTTAGGATTTTAGATCATTCTCTTTGATGTGTTTTTACTCATTTAGAATTCATCAAATGCTTTGAGATTTCATTTAACATTGGTTATTTGGATTATTATGTCTTTCTGAAGAAACAAATTTTAAAAAGAAAGTTTTTTTCCTGGTCAGCATAATTTAGACTTTGTATAAAGTTAACTTAAATATACAGTAGTAAATTTTTATTTAAGTTGAAAATGAATGAGAATACCAAATTTTATTAAAAGTGGCCAGACAGATACATTCAATCCCATCACTTAGTAGGCAGAGACAGGAGGAGGATGCTTGCAAATACAAGGGAAGCCTTGCCTATATAATCACTTTCAGGCCAGCCAAAAAACAAAGTTGACTCAAACAAACAAACAAAAAAACAAAACAACCCTCCAAAACAAATAAGAACTAAATTCAAAACTCTCAAAACAGTAGCCCAAATCTCCCCAAACTCAAGTTTTAAATCCTTAATGTTTCTTTTTAGTCTATCTATCTATTATTTATCTTTTTATTTTTATTTGTTTTTAGTTTTTCTTTAATATTTTTATTTTTGAAAAAATCTAAAGCATATTCTAATCATCTAATCATAGGTTATACTGGGCTATTACATTGTGACATTTCGCCTAGTGTCCTTCTCTGGTTTTATCCCTCCCATTCCTGCTGACCCTCTCCCTTCTACTTTCACAACTTTGTTTTTTAAATTATGAACCAACGTGTTTCACTAGGGTCACTTACAGAAGCATAAGTGAGATTTTTTTTTACAAGAGCATAGACAAATTACCATTGACTACATCACAGAAGAAAGTGTCTCTCTCCCAGCTACCATGAATTGTCTACATATATTCCGAGGGGGGGGTGGAGCCTCATGAACCTCTCCACTGTCCATAAATGGCTCAATCAGGTAATCACAGTTTCAAGAGTGTAACTGTCATGTCATGCCTGGAACACAGCATTGCACATCACTCCACTCCTTCTGACCCTTGCATTCTTTGCCCTTACCCTTCACTGATGTTCCTTGAGCCTTGGAAGGGGTGACATAGATGTCCCATTTAGGGCTGACCTTCCAACAGCTGTTTATGCTCAGCATTTAGATCAGTTATGAGTTTCTGTAACAACTGCTGCCCACTACAGAAAGAAACTCCCATAATCAAAGCTCTTAGAAGCACCAACTTATGGACATAAATAGAAACATCTAGAAGGCAACACTGTGTGCACATAATGTCAATTTGGCAAAGCAAGAGTAGCAGCTTCCCCACTAGGGCCTATGCTCTTCCCAGCTGTGGGCCTTTTACCAAGTTTATAATGCCACTTGTAAATTCACTACTGTGGAGCAGGCCACAATTTCAACCAGAAAATGGTTGGTTACTCTCCAAATAGTCATGCCACTACTACACAGTGGGCATTGCTTGGGAGCTTACGGCTGCTCACAGTGGTTGTACCTGTAGCTCTGGGTGCTTGGAAAGCTGGTGTGAAGCTATAGGTTCAAGAACAGCCTAGCAACATACTGGGGATCTTTGTAAGGAAAGGGGGAAAGCTTGTTTAAAGTGTCCTTCTACTAGATCTCCTCTGAATTCACCAGACAGGAAAGAGAGGCACAGAATATGAGTGGTTTTTTTTCTGCTTTTGTTACCCTAGAGGCAATGGGGGCACTAAAGAAATTTAGGTCCTGAAAAGAAGGCCCAGCAACTAATGGTACCTGATGTTTTTGCAGAGAACCAGGATTCCTTCCATCGTTTGTGTCAGGAAGCTTACAACTGCCTAAAACTTCAGTTTGAGGGGATCAGTGCCCTCTTGGGGCCTCCACAGGAACCTGCACATATACAGGTGAACATACATGCACACACACACACACACACACACACACACACACACACACATAAAACAAAACAAAATCATTTGCAAAGAAGTTTAGGAAACTTCTTTAGTATTATGTAGAGCCAGGGAATTCTCCAGAGCAACCAGTGTCCAGACTAGCATGTTAGAGGAAGAACATTCCTCGGCAATACAGCCCAACTCATCAATCCCATTGGAAGGAGCTTGTCTACAGCCTCACGACTCACTCTTTGTCACAGCTTGGAGTTGATTCCAAATTTATTATGCTTCATTTTATTAGTGCAGCTTAGTCTTGAACTTAAGCACCAACATCTTAGTAAACCATTGTCCAAAACAAAGGGGGAACTTATTGGAACTACACCAAAATCTCTCCCAGAGTTGTGGTCACTAGGTATCGTGATGTAATAGATCTGGGGCCTGCCAAGTCTGTAATTCAAGATGGCACAGTCTATGTCTCTGGCTTCCAGCCAAGACAACCAGGTGCTAGCCAGAGGGGCCAGCTTTGTTTCTGAGATGTTTATAGTTTACCATAAGACTGAATTTTCCAATGAGTTTATAAAATCGCCAATGCTGAGCCCTTACCCGAGACTTAGTAGATCATTCTGGGGTAAATCTCAGGAAACTAACAGTCTAGCTGGTTGCCAAGTGATCTGGGGACATCATACTTTGACAACTACTATTGAAATCATTCTGGATTTGAGTCTCTTCAGACAGGGCATGCCCTTTCTGTTCATCTCCACCTGTTTCTGTATCTGGCTTGTCTGAGGGTGACAGCCCTGCTTCAGGCTGCAAATCCTGTGATCTCCCTCTGTCAGCCAGCATCTTCTCACAACAGCTCACAACAGCCCCAGGAGTGGTGTTTGTTCTCAGTGCCTCAAAAATCCTCATATTTCAGGCAGCTGGGAAGGGCATGATCCTGAAAACACGGCTATAGATCTTAGGGTGGAGGAGAAACAGGTCAGGCAACTCAGTATCATCATGTCTGCTTGGAAGACAGCTGTCTGACAAAATGCCTGCATCATGTATAGTAGAAAGATCCATAGGTCAGCATATCCTAATTAAAGTTTAAATAATTATTTACCATCTGAAAATACACATTGTGATCGTATAAAATGATGGCCCCAAACAGTTCCTTTTTCCTTTCCCTCCCCACCTCATGCTGAGGCTCCATTCTAGAGTGTGTTCAGTGTTAGGTGGTGCTCTACTATTGAGCTGCTTCAGCTTTTGTAACTTTTATCTAACAGATCATCTGGTAAGCACAAAACATTGTTCTAGAGCTTAGAAAATACAGCGCTGACAGAGAAAACACAACATCTGTTCTAATTTTGCATTCTAGAGGGATAAAGACTGTGTGCATTTATCCCACAATGCAATGTATTGGTACATTTATAAGTGCTGCAAAGAGTACTGGCTGTTATTTAGCTAGGAATCTGTTTTTTTGTTTTGTTTTGTTTTGTTTTTCGAGACAGGGTTTCTCTGTGGCTTTGGAGGCTGTCCTGGAACTCGCTCTGTAGACCAGGCTGGCCTCGAACTCACAGAGATCTGCCTGCCTCTGCCTCCCGAGTGCTGGGATTAAAGGCGTGCGCCACCAACGCCCGGCTTATTTAGCTAGGAATCTGAAGGAGTGAGAGGATAACAATGCCTTTCTGAGATGTAGTATTTTAGCTGCCATCTCAGTGAAGAAAGGGAGCCATACCCAGAACGTGGGTGGAGAGAATGGCTTGTGTAAAATCTCTGAGTACAGCATATTGAATGGAGTGCAAGAAGTCTGCTGCAATGCCATTGCAGACAGCCATGTAGAATATGACCGAGATCAAGATAGAGACATGAGCCTGGGAAATGCTCACACAAACAAATCCTGATAAAGACATAAAAGATGAGAACGTGCAAAGGATCCTTCACATGGGAATGGCAGGAGCAGATTTTCACTGGAAACATGTCACTCTAGTTTAGAATGGAATATGAATTGGAGGGGAGTAAAGCATTAATATAGACCACTATAGCAGTTGTTCATGGATGGTAGCTTGAGTAGTGACATGTAGATTACATATGAATGATTTGAGAGAGCTTTAATAAGGAAAGTTATTGGTTATGATGGGT